GTTCCCTTGTTTTCTGGGTAGGGTTCAAAATTACAAGGCTACAGAGTTGAAAATTGATGGTTGCAAACACGCACTTGGGTCGGCTGTTCAACACCGGTTATAAAATAAAATAAAACAAGATCATGTTAGAGTAGCGATGGCTCAGGGGATAGTGTGTTCGCCTCCTAAGAGGTGAACCAGGTTCGACTCCCAGCGGTGGTTGGCTGATACGAATTTTGCTCCCGGCTTCACCGACCACAGTGCTGACGTAAAATATCATCAGTGGTAGATGGATCATGGGTTAGAGTCCCCTTGCCTTCAGGCTTTCAGTGATTTCCCGCTCCATGTAACGCAAATTCGGGTTAGCTCCATCAAAAAGTCCCTATACAGCTTTATTGTTTTTACGTGACTGAAACCGGTTTGCACTTGTTTACGTTACTGTATCAATTGGTTAAATTAGACGATATATAACTTAAATTTGATGATAGGATAAATTAGACCATATATTATATAAATATGGAATATTTATTATATGAAGCATTATATTACAGTATTATAATAATTAGATCAAATTATTAGACGCACTGTAGTGTTTTAATAATGACATGATTTGCAAGAGTTTATATGCAATACTTTTATATTTAAACATACATGTAATGGGTTTTAAATCAGGAGATTTTTTATATACTTCCTATTTGTATTTATTTGTAACATATTGCATTACAATGTTAACCAATTGATACAGGGGCGTAAACGAATGCAAACCGGTTTCATCCGAGTAAAAACAATACAGCTGTACAGCATCATCTGATAATTATAATTTTGCATAGAATCTTATAGTGGGTCTAATAATATGGCCAGTGGACTGTATATATATGTAGTTATGCATAAACACTTCCATTTTGGGACATCGTGTCAATGAGAACCTTAGCTTTCATTGCGTTTCGAACTACAACATATTACATTTTCGTCCAATTCGACAGAGAATTAATTTCCATAAGATTGATTGAAGACTTTAATCTCATTTAGTGCGATGATTTTTGCTGAGCCACATCAACTATTTCATTTATGTATGGGTCATAACTTGTTCTCTTTAACAGCGTATACAAGATTCACTAATTTGATTAAAATTTGAAACAAAGCGAGTCTTTTTGTAGTCAGATATACGTATATACACCTGCTCAAACACAGCCCAAATTTAATTATTGCAATTTAGTTTAGGTTATCTCTTTTCATCTTATTATGGAGTGGTTGATTTTTATAGTGGACAGGGCTTTGCGTCCTTGAAAAGACCATGACACCCAAAATCCTATTATCTTTCTGATTCAGCCTATGATAGCCCCCAGTAGTGATGTATTTTTTTTTTAAGATGTTATTTTCAATGACTGTTAGTGAATAAAAGTAATTTTATATCACGTATCACATGCCACTTAGTGTCCCGCATGTCGTAGGTTCGCCATCTCTGGCTTAAATAAACTTAGGGCACATTCTAGTTTTATCAAACAATGATAAAAAATTTTAATAAAAAGAAATGAAGGCTTATTTGCTTAAAATGTCATATTATAGTTTTTCATTTTTAAATATGGTATTATAAAACTATTATTTCATTTTTGCAAAGGAGGTACTAATAAGCAAATTTTTGTGTTTTAGCAATCTTTTTTTCTTTTAGCCATTCTTGGCAAATTTTTGTGCGCTATAAGAATATAAATCAAATCAAATATGTCATTTCAATAATGAGGGATTCCAGCATTTTTAAATGGATATTGGGTTTTTAATTCAATAGTCCTTAACATAGTGTATATTTTTAGCATATTATTCCTTTAAAAAAAAATAATCTACCAACCTAAATGTTTGAAATATATGCACTGCTTAATCAAATTAATCAGTATTAGCTTCATTTTTTTTGCTTGCGTAAATATTGTTCCGTCTTGAATATTGATCTTTCATTAAATAAGACTTTTAAGAAACTGCATTATCATCATAACTTAGTCATTAAAATTTTCAAAACTATATCATTTGTACTAATTTTAACTTCTTTTTCCTTTTTAGAGTACTTTATTTTTGCTACTCTTGTCGTGGTAGTCTTGTACCATTCACAGTTACGAAGCATGGAAAGGTAAAAAATAACTGTAATTTTAGTTATTTTACATTTTAGGGTACAACTGCAATTGAATAGCCAGTCATAGACTGTTACCTATATGTCATAACTCTAAACAATGTTTTGATATGGGTTTTCTACATTCTTCTAAAAGATGTTTTTCAATTTTTTAGATTTTCTTCAAAACATTTATTCCATGCTATAATTTTGGCAAGTTATGGTAAATTATTCATGCTTCCTGTCCTTGTTTGGAGTAAGGATGACGAATATAGTGAAATATTGATAATTTTATTTATCTTTCTATCTCAAGTTCAAGTCATTCGAAGTATGCATTTATTTTGTTAATGATATTATGTTATTGTTACTGCCATGTGATATAGGGAAGAAGTTGTAAATTTTGTCACTGACCAATGGCCAAATACGGCTTTTTTATTAGTGGACACTTTTTAAAACATGTAGCCACTTTTTTCAAAATCGAAAATTCTTAGCTATTAAAAAACCATTATATAAATGTAAAGTTTTTTTTTAAAGCATTTATCAATACATGATAAATAATATCATGATCATTTCTAAAATGAAGAAAAGTCTTCCTTAACTCTTTAAGTATGTTTATGTAAATGTAGTACGTTTTCAACAAATAAAATTTAGGTTAGGTTAGGGTTTGAATTTATGAACCAATAATGCAACATAAAATTTGCGTTTATTAACAAACATAAAAATTATTATTTACAAAATAAATCTGAAACAATTGTACCTGTATTGAGGAAATTATATAAATTAAATTACTTCTAAATATTATTGGCCATAAATTTAAAAAAAGTTATATTAAATAAACTTAAATGAAACCTTTGACAACCAAATTCAGTCCCAATGAAATTTTGAACCAGCCTAAAATGACCTGAATGTTCAGGGGATGATTATATAACTTTTTATAATTGTTGTGGAACAGTAGACCCAATTTTGGGTTTACGACTACTAATATTCAACTTCGTTGCCTTGTAACTTTGAACTAACCCAGAAGACAAGGTAACTCGTGGATCAGTACACCCAGAGGTATGATTTGTAATGGGAACATGGAGGACTTTGTGACTGGACAGATTTAACAAGCATCAGTCACCATTTACTACACGGGGAGTTAACTTACAACGCTATTTAAAAACCAGTTAAATATTATGACTAAGATAAATTAATGATTTTAAATGTCTTCTATTGTCATGTAAATATGGCTACTACATCAATTCTTGTAATTAAATATTTAAATTCTGCATACATAATGAATTAAATTTCTTTAGAAAGTACACTTAATTTAACTTCTTTAGAAAGTACAGATACTTTGTTATGCAAACCACAGTTATATACATAATTTTAAAAACATCAAGTACATAAATTATTTACTATTAAATTTTGCTATTCGGAAAAACTCATTTTAATATTTAGCAATCTGTAGTTTTGTTATTATTTAAAATGCTATGCTTTTACAAAGTTGTCATTATTTTAACTCCTTTTTTTTTCAGTCACAACAAAACTGTCGATAATTATCATAGCAACTACCTTGATTTTAATATCAGAGGTAGGTTACCTGGCTCTTCAGAGGATATTATGATAAAGAAGATACAAAATATGTTGGAAGATAGAATATTTAACTGTGATATATTATAGCTCTTGGTTATTACTAGTATATGTATTTAGTCAGATATCTTGCTATAAATAAAATATTTTTACATTTTACTAAAAAGATTGTTTCTGAGAATTATTAATGGGGATGGGTTGTCTTGAAGTAAACATTCAAGGGACCAAAATTTCTGTTCACTATAACCGGGAGTTCACTATATCCGTTACATAAGCAATTTAACTAATGATTCCCAAACTCCTCCCTTTTATTACACATTGTTCAAATAAATCACTGAAAAATATTATGTAGTAGCAAAACATGAGTTATTTTCCATTACTCTTTGTCTAGCATACAAAAAAAAAAATTAGTAATCTTTAGCTGATGAGCAATCCACAACATCAGATATGGAAAAACTTCCCGACTCTCAGATAATTTTTCCTGAATTTCTGTTATTCCACTTTTTAAATCTGTCTAGCCTGCCATTCGAGCACATAAAAGTAGTCTCATAAAATCGCTTAGCAAATTCATCGACATTTGTGTTGTCCAGATACTTCGATTGGTGAATAACTTCAGTAATGCTTCTTCAACATCCTTGTGATCTGCTTTTCTCAACTTTTTTCTGCCATCAAAATTCTTTTCATGAGCAGAAATTATTAATTGCCTATTTTTCCATATGTTACAAATTGCAGATTTGGATAGTTTATATTCCCTGCAAATATCAGCTTGATTGCATCCATTTTCAATTTTTCTGATTATGCCCATTTTATCATCAATGGAGAACGTTTTACGTTTACTGTTCGAGTTAAATTTGAGACACTTGTTTGCAGAATTTTTTAAACTGAACAAGGAGTTGAAATGAGGGCCTTATCGACACATATTAGTGTCCAACCCTTTGACCAATAATGAATAATTACTCATTCCCTCTGACATAAAATGCATATTTGATCTGACTGACCTCGTCTGCCTGGGTTGGAAACATCTGCTTTGTTTGTTTAGGGATTGGAAAGTGAGATAAAAGAATCAAACAAGAAAAAATATTTATCGCTACATTCCCCTCCATAGATGGTTTTGTCAGTATATATATATTTTTTGAAGTAGAAATTTCGAAATTTATTATAAAAAAAATCAGTTGAAGACAGAAAAAAGTTCATTATATCCAACTTCCTAACTTTTTTGGTTCACTACATCCACAAAAAACAACATTATCCGCCTATAGCAAGGCATGGGACCGAACATTTCGTTCACTATAAACCGTGCATTTCAAAATTTACCAAGATATTCATAAAATGGGTTAATTTGTGGCTCGATCCACCATTTAATTTAGATTCGTTTTATTCATTCATGCTTATTTGCACAATTTTACACTGTTTATGCACATTAAACACAAATAATTTTAAAATTGTATTCTAATAATTTTAACAACTATTACAGCAGGAGAGCTCTATAACACAATTCTGCCTAAAGCACAAAAACTTTTGTGGCACAGAGTGTTGAGTTTTGCAATTTTTACAATATTTACACTTTTTCGTTGCAGTGCCATTTGTGAAGCAAAATGCCTAAAGCCCTAGGTCAAATAGGGTCAATTTTCTCTGAAGAATCCGAATCTGCTTTAAAAAATAGGGCACCATATATAAGATTTAAAAAATGCCTCCAACACTTTGCTCAGGGATGGGAGATCTAGTTAGGTATAATAGGATAGCTTTTAAAAAAATATTGAAAGTCTATTTTTACTTTTTCAATCTCGTATAATTCTCAAGATATTTTACGGTTTCCGAACTTTTGTGTACTCTGTAAATTGTGACGTTTAACAGGTATGCTTAATGATACATGAAATGATCTATGTAACACAAAATTCTCTGCAATGCAAATGTTTTAAAGCTTGCATCAATATTTTCTGCATTTAATGTTTATAAGCATTTAATTAAATATTTATAAACATTTTTATACTAAAGAGTAAATAAAAAAAATTGTTGGAATTAGCAATAATTTAAATTTCTACCATTTACATTTTTTTTTAAATAAATGTTTTTATTTTAAATTTAATTGTGAAGAAATATTTATAAGTTAGGTCTTATATTGTGCCGCCCGGTGGCCGAGTGGTAGCGCTTCACGCTCCCATGCCACAGGTCCTGGGTTCGATCCTCGGGCCGGGCAAGGTCGACTTAGCCTTCCATACCTTCATTGGGTCAATAAATGAGTACCAAGCATGCTTGGGAACTAAACACTGGGGGTTCCTTGTTCGGCTGACCACCTGACCGGAACATCTGCTCCTGCACCCCAGAGCCCAAGGTCAAGAAACTGAGATGGGCACAGTAGGCCTTGGCCGTCTATGGGCTGGCGCACAACTGAGTTTAGTTTTTTTAGGTATTATATTATACAGTCGAATAACAATAATCTTAAAAGAAACTTTTTTTTCACATTTTTGAGAGGGTTAAAAAAATATTTTTGTATGTTTCGTAACTGTTCAGTTATGATCCTTTAAATTTTATGTGTTACACAATTTCTGTTGGAAAAAGGAGTTGATGTTACAACTCCTTTAATTGATATTTATAAGATATTAATTTAATATTTATAAGATTTAAATTTTGCATTGAGAAATACATTATTGATGAGTAAGAATAGAAAATACAAATAAGTACACTTCAAATTGTACCAGGGTTCGCCAAGTGGGCCCACTTTGAAAAAACCCGCCCGGGTTTTATTGGGTGGGCCCACCTTGAAAAAACCCACTTGGAACGATAAGTGGGTTTTTNATTTTCTTTTGTTATTAAATATAAAGGTTATTGCAATGATGAAAAAATTTATTGTCTTATTAAATAAAAATAAATTAAAACATTTATATACATGAAATAGGTTCAGTGATTTTTCTATTCTGAAAATTACAAGTTCTTAGAATACACGATTTCCATAATTTTGGATGACATTTTATTAAAATCAGATCCTAATTTAAAATATGAATTCTCAACCTCTTTATCCATTTATTATTATTAATATTCATAATATTGTTTAGCTTTTAATAGAAAAAAAAAGAATTTTAAATTAAGAGGAGTTATGCTTCAACCATCAAGGCTTTTAATTAGAATTGATTCAAAACACCTACATGCATGAAAGTCTTAAGTCCAGCAGACTCACTGATCACTTAAGTGTAAAGCTATGCTTAACTTATAATCAAACTGTTGTATTATGATTTGAATTTTTTACAAAATATTTAGAAAATACTAAAAAACGCCAAAGTTTAATCAAAAATAATAAACTTTTTGGCAATTCAAATGAATAATACTAGAAATTGCAATTCTTAGCTGTAAAAACTGCATTTACTACTAGTTAATAAAGAAGAAAGAGTAATATTTTAAGCTTAGTTCTTATTGTCAAAGTATTAAACTCTTATTTCATGATTTTTATAAGACAATATTTTCATAGCAATAAAAATATTAGGCATCTGGATTTCAAGATCAGCTTTCTTTTGATGTGAATAATGAAAACATAAATCTGATTATTTAGCTTACTATATCGTAACAGAAATGTCTAAACTGACTTAAATTCTATCATTAATTATAAAAAAAGTGATTATTGAGCAAGTAGATTTCTGTAACAATTTAATAGAAAACAAAATAAAAATGTAAAATTGGTTTAAAAAAACCACTTTATCCATTAAAAGAAAAATTTACTTGTTTTCAATAAAATCCATAAAAATAATTTAATTTTTTATTTATTTTAAAACTTTTTACATATTTGTCAGGTTTTTTTTTTTTAAATTATGTTAAGGATATGCTATTTAAATATTAGATCATATTTTTGGAAAATGTTTCATGCCTCTTCTACAAAAACTAAGCTAATCTTCTTATCCTTTGCTTGTGTAAGATTTTTAACAAAATAATTATTAAAGATATTTTTATGATCAAAAACGCAAACTTCACTTTCATCCGTTGGCTTCACCTAGTAAAAATTTTTAAATGTAATTAACATTGCGTAAAATATAATTTAGGAATTTGTTTTTGTTTTTTTTGATTAAGCGTTTTAACCAGTCTTCATCAAGAATATACCATTGCTTAGACATGATAAAATAATTTTGTTAACAACTATTTTGATATAAGTAATATAAAAGTAGTATTAAAAAATCAAGATTTCAGCAACCTTCTGAATATTCATGGTAGCAACAAAAATGCAATTGATAAAACCATCATGTGGTTTTACAGGCGAATCTTCAATAATCCACAGCATAGAAAAGTGACTCTTAATATGCGCAATTTGAAATTTCCACGTATGATAATGTAGCATTAAAAAAAAATCATTTAACAAAGTTGTTAAATAGTTCTATGTTATAGTTCAATGAAAATCCGTCGCCATGACTGACATAAATTCTCCAGTGATTGTGGGTGACTTTTCAATATTTGAATATGTAAGAAAGTGATTCTTCAAATGCGCAATTCAAACTTTGCTGCACAAAGTATCGTATTAAAACGTGAGATTTTTAAAACCATGTAAAAAAATATTTTTAAAAAATCGGGAAAATCACACAGATTCACAATGGAATTGTCGCTAATAGAGTAGGCCAAGTAATAATTAAATAAAATTATTGATTCGGAATTCGTAGTATGTTATAACACTGTATTAAAATATCAAGATTTTAAAAACCAGGTAGAAATCTGAAACAATAGTTGCCAAAATCGCTATCAGCAAACCACGTGCATACCTGCCAACATTGGAAAAATAAAATAACGGAGATTTTACTAACGAGATTTTTAGGCTACGAGTTAAGTTTTGATACGTCATGCATAATCATATAAGTCAAAAAGAGAAATTCCAAATTGAAAATAATATAAGCACTTACGTATGGAAATTACAGTACTTACAAAATTACAGTAAAAAATATGTATATAAATCTAAAGAAGATTTTTTAAAATCATTATTTATAATTTCTCAAACTATAAACACTCAACCTGCTGCAGTACTGACAATAGCACCATCTGTTGAGGAATAAGAGAAGTATTTTTGCCATCAGCAGATATTTTATAGCCAAATTTGTTTTAAATATTTCTTCAACAAATACGGAGAAATTTGAGAATATAGGAGTAAACAGGAGATAGTCATAAAATACAGGAGTCTCCATTAAAAAACAGGAT